GGTTCTCCTAGATAGCGTGCTTTCCTAGCGGTTTCCAGAAAACTCGAAGTTGGTGTTTTTGCTAAGCTAACTTATTATTATTATTATTATTATTCTAGTTTAACGTCCTTTTTCAGCCCGAAGGGCTATATAAGACGTGTAGGGTTCTTAGGCCTACAAGTATCTAAGTAGGTTGTTTCTAGCTACAATATTTAGGAGGGGTTTTACTAAGCTAACTTAATTAGTATAGGAAAAAAGCCACTAGTAAGAATCTATATACGTACGCAGCAAAATACAAGTAGAAGATAAGAAAGCAAATCGCTATTCCTAACAATACTAGAAGAGAGATTTCTAGCGCTTTCTACTAACTTAAACTAAGGCACTATTACCTAAGGGACTACCTATATAAGAGAGGGAAAGTAGATTCTAACAGTTGCCCCTGCAACTATAGGTCTATACAAGACCTACCTTATATTCTATTTAGATGTAATCTATATAAAGAGAAAAGAAAAGGACTAAGAGAAGACTACAAAGGCGATCTATTACTACCTATCCTCCTTTAAATAAAAGAGGGTATAGAAGTAACTATTACCTTTATTTAAGAAACAAAGGCTAGAATACAAGCCTAGTATAAGGGAAACACAGAAAACAAGAAGTAATACCTGTAACAAGTAGCTATACACCTCCCCCACCCTATCCTACCCCCTACCTAGTAACCAATAGGCTACGAGCCTTACCTTTATCTAGTTAAAACCCCTCCTAAATATTATAGCTAGAAACAACTTACTTAGATACTTGTAGGCCTAAAAACCCTACACGTCTTATATAGCCCTTTAGGCTGAAAAAGGACGTTAAACTAGAATAATAATAATAATAATATGTATGTACTTCTATTATGTATAACCATTTCTTCATGACGGACTTTTAGTACAACGCGTAGCGTATGATATGGGACAATAGGGAAATTATAGGGTATACTGACAACAAGACTGACGCTCAGGAACAGAAGCTCATAAGGCGAAAGCACATGTAGAAGAGAACATGGACACGTGTATGTGAGAGAGAGCCTAGCTATCTCGTCGAGGCCACCAAGTCTTATTACCAACCAGAGCTGCTTCATCATCGCTGTCTTCTGGTTTCTTGCTCATATTTGTGCTCTTCCCACTCTTTACGCTCTTGGTGCTCTCGTCGCCTTCAGCTATGCTATCCATGCTGCGCCCATCCAGCTGCGCCCCATCAGTCAGTACACCGCCTTGCGATGTGTTCCTCATGTGATACGTGCCCACGGTTTTATCGGCTTCCTGTCCATTATTCTCGTAGAAAGGGTTCGCTTCACTGCGGATAATGATTTCGCGCGTCTCCTTGATCTGGTTGCCCCGAGGTTCAAAGCTGACAATGCGCTCGCGCTCGCCAGCTTTCACATCGCCTGTGTAGCTGGCGAAGCTCGTGAGCTCGTGGACAGAAGCGTGTTGAGACTTGTGGGTATCGCGGTTGTGGTGGCTGTGGTGGTGGTGACTCTGGTGCCCTGTTGTTGTCGAGAACTCAGACGACGATCGGAATTCCTGGGCAATGGATGCCTTGCCCGTCTTGCGGGATGTCGAGATGGCGATGCGCTTGATGAGGTTGGCCATTGTCATTTCGATGTTCAGCTTGACCATGTAGGCAAGGGGGTGGAATTGGATGTACCTGCGCATGGAATGTTAGTTTGGCATGCCGATGCAAAGAATAAATGACTTACACAAAGGAGTTGGGAATTGACATGGCGGCGATGATCATGACGTCCATGCATAGCGAGAGGATCACGATTTTCTGGTTGAACTTTACAAGATCATTGTATTTGGTAAGTCCGTTTTTGATGAGATTGGCCTTGACGGTCCTCAAGAAGTACCAGTTCAGTATAGCGTCCACGAGGAGATAAAGACCCTTCTCAATACGATCCCAGTATTCGTTGATGAGGTGGTAGCTGTCGAAGTGTCAGTTCGTCGATCACATGTTGAATAAGCAATTACTGCAGGCACTGTACACCCAAGACTTACGCGGGACTGATCTGCAATCGGGCAGGTATCCAAATGTTGAACACACTAATATTGATTGCAGTGACAAACGTAGCTGTCACAATCATAATCCACCTTGACCGTCGTCGATCGGGAAGGATTACGCGAATACGGTTGATGATGATTTGCAACAGTAGCTGAACCTGAATACACCACCAGAAGAGAATTGTAAAATAGAAGGCGAAGCCTGATGGGTTGTTAGCAGTTGGTCGTGGAGCTTCTCTGAAGGACGCGTACTTGGGCTAATGTATTTGAGGAGATGCAGGAAACACTCCAGTCCCATGACAAAACACACCGCCATCTCCAGCCATATCATCCAAATATACACACTACGAAGAGGGCTTCTGGATTCCTTGGTCTGCTTGATAGCGAGATGGGTCGCCAGAATGCAGTTGAGTAACGTGAGCCCCCATACTGTCGATGCGATGATAATGTCCGTCTGTGTAATGGGTTCGTTCTTGTAGTTTGGCGATATGAAGGGGCCCCAAGCTTTGAACGATGGGTCGTCTTTGTATTCACCGCCCATGGTGGGTCACCATCAACGGGAACAGTGGTGATGGCGAAGTGAGGGCTCGGATGCTGTCGTCTCAGGGAAGCGCTTGCTTTATCCACAGTGTAGTCGTGAGCGGAGCTTTGGCCGTGGATTGCAAAGGACGGCCGGGTTTCTGTAAGTCTTGACTGCTTCACAACGGCGGCTAAGGCCCTGCGGCAGATGAAGCAGCCATATGACAGACCTTCGAGTCAAGATAAAGTTCGACGCTTTCGGGGCTTGTCTAGGTGGTTTGGAGTGTTGGCCACTCATTGGCTAGTCACTATAGCGTTGTGGGCTTGACAGACAGCCCAACGGTCGATCCTTTCGTCAATCGTGTCGGCCGTCCTTGTGGTGACCCTGGCGATTTACGCGTTCCCCGTAGAGTGTCTCGCGCAACCTGCACCCGGGACGGGATCCACTCTCGTAGCGTCTTCCTGGAACACCGAAGCTAGTAGATGCGCTAGCGCTAGGGTGAGGCGGAAGAGGGAGGGCATGCATTTTGTGGGGGATTTGCAAAGTTTGCGGATCCATGGAAGAAGCCCATGTAGATACTGCAGCCATGGCGTACCTGGGCGGCGGCACACGGCACCATGTTCACGGCAACCAGAGGAATCCAGAAAGTGTTTTGCTGGCACTATAATCGTGGCGAAAATCCTAAAAACGGGATCTTGGTTCTGACACGCGCGGTGGCTCAGGCGGCGTCGTTCTAGAGATGGTAGCGTGCGCCATGTTCCTTGCATGACGGCTGAATGAATTTTGCTCTGGCCTGCAGAGGCGATTCTGGTGCTAATCTTCTGCTAGTGTGCTTGTAGGTAGGTGCGGCGAGTTCTCCGCAGCGCATGATTCGATCAGCACCGCATCCTTCAAGCACTGTGTCCAGCGTGCAACGGACATGCATGTGAAAGCTTGATGGCGGCATCGTGGGGATGGCTGTGCTTGACAGCAGATGCTGGAGTCTGTGTTACCGTTGCCATCAATGCCAGACGGTTCAGTGACGGTAGGTTGTTTCTGCTGCGGCACGGGCAAACGCTTGTACAGCTAGAGGCTGAGGCTTGAGGGCCGGCCGAGTGAAGCATACGACTTTTGACCTCGATACGGTACCCGGCGACCTGGATTTGCCCAATTCGGGTTTACATGCGGCGAAATAGGCTGCTAGGGGCGGCATCATGGCACCACACTCGACATGGCCAGCCAAATGCCACCCACTAATAGATGCAAGCGGGCGATCAGAACAAGGGCGACAGTCGCCGGCCAAGAAGCCGTCGCAGTCGGGCGGCAGGGAACAAGGCTGCTCGTGAAACGCGCTCTGACGAGTGCGACGCGAACCAGCCCAGCGGCGGTGTCGAGCCAGTCTCCGAGCCGACCAAGTTATGCGTTCCGTATACAAGTGTCGACATGGCCTGTCGTCGTCGAGGTGCCCCGACAATGCGGAACCAACATGGCGACGCCCTGTCGCGCATCAATGGGAACGAAGCAGAAACCAGCGGTGCCCGAGGGGGCGCTGATCGGCGCTTCAAGGCCTCGCCGAGGCGAACCACAGATGGCATTGCCAGTCTGCATCCCGCACCTTGGCCTCGAGCACGAGAAACAAGGACCGCGAAATCATGCGCTCCATACCCTGACCTGAGCCAATGCATACCCGCCTAAACACGCAGATCGTCTTCCAACACTCCCACCGTGTCGCACGTGTCGGCTCATCGCAGCTATGCCTGATGGAGCATTAGGTCGCCAGCCAGAGCAACGTCGTCCATATCAACATTATCCGACTTGCGGCTCGGGAGCTTGCTCGGTGAGAGCCACAACAACCCTCCGCCGTGCTTCGACGGTCTACTGACCACATCTGGTTACCGGCATGCGTAGGCCCCAGCCTCCAGTCCTCCTCTACGCCATCCACTAGCCGTTCCGATGCCTAGGACGCCGGCTGTACGCTAGTCCATGGAGAATTCTCATGTGTAATCTTAACGCCACCCCTTTGCACAACACCCATCTCTTGTCTGGTTTGCTGCTCTCGCTCTCGTCCGTATCCTCGCCGACGACGCCCATGGCCCGCGGACCCAAGGAGCGGGATTGACCCTTGGAGTGCGTGCGCCCCGTCCTAACACTTTCGTATTCAATCATAGTAGCCGAAGGCTGGCCACTTTTAATCGCCCTAAAAACATTTCAGCTGCTGTCTAATACATGACTAGTTGTAAAGACATGTTGAATCAATGTTGCGCTATATTGGCTTGGAGAGTGACTTTGGATGAAGGCGTCTCTTCTGCTGTCATGTCATGGACATATGACTAAGGGGTTTACTAGAATTGGTCAACATTGCGGCAAGCACGGCAAGATCCGGCTCCTCGTCTCTGCAAATTATAAAATGGTGTCCTGTCGTACGATGCTTGGGAGGGGGGAGGGGGAAGAAATTGATACTCACTGGCATGGCATACAGTCTGCAGCACAGCGGAATTGAAGGCCGTTCCAGGTGTAGCAGAATGCTATCTTCCAGAGATGCTGCACAGGTTGATGATGCATATTCACCATTGCCATAGCCTGAGTTCTTGTCTGTGTGAAATAGCTGAGTGGCTTATGGCGCACGTGATAAGAAACAGATGCACTCGGCGCACAGATGTAGCTGTATAGAGGTCAGTGGTGTCGGCTTCACGTACGATGGCAGGCCATACATGAAGCCAAGCTGTCCTTCCTGGTCCCGTGTCTCCCCGCGTATCGTTTGATGCGCCCCGGGGACTAGGACTTTTGACCCTGGTCGATGACACTGCAGATCTCGGCTTCCCAACAGTAGGTGTAACTTGGCGCTCAGGTTGTCTGGGCACACCTTACTAGCCGCATCAAGCTTGATGTATAGCTACGCTGAGCACCACACAGCACAATTTATTGTGTCTATACCTGGAGCAAGTATTCCAGTGAACACGTGTCAAGCATGTAATATATCAATGCGACGTGCCAGAATTTTGTCATGTATAATGGAAAACGAGCGCAACTGAGCTACTCGAGTCCAAGAGCTTTGTATCTTCGATCAAGTCCCAAACGGGAACGGCTGGTGCGGAGCAAGAATGATTGGGTATCTAAGGACGAGGGTGATTTTGGTGTGCGGTGGTGCATATTGTTGAAGCAGCGGCTTGAACGATGGGCCGAATCGACCTTGCAATCGAAATGTCTCCCCTGAAACCCGGGTAGCATCAACCTTTGCAAGGCTCGATTCCGTGTCCAGAGTACCTCATGGGGAGGAAGCACATGATTCGTCAGTTCAAACGTCGAAGAATGCCCCCTTGGAATTCCCCTCGTTTGTTTTAGAATGTGTCGGGAGTGGTTCCGCGAGACAGAATCAATATGCTGCGGGGTCTCGAATATGCCTAGCGTGCGGAGTAACGACCTTTTAATGACGTACTCATGGAGTGAAAAGGGTACGGAGATCGAGCGCACCATTAACTTGCAGCTACGTAAAAGGTTAGGTTTCCTGCCCTTGGATCATACACGACCTCACTGCCAAGTAGCGTTACCAGCTTCCGGTCGGAAGTTTACTGCTTGTACTGTCGACCCAGTCAGTTAGACCCCAGACTTCATACTATACACCAATCATGCCACCCCCCCCCCCCCAGAATGGACATTACTAGCCAATATGTGCAAGAGGGGGAAGTGTCCAAGAAGTAGTACGTGGTCTTGCCAGTAGCAGAGCGGGCATGTGCAGCGCCCCAGCCATGAGACAAAGCAGTCTGTTGGCGTTTTGGACTTGGCACTTGGCAAGTACAGTTGGTTGTATGGCATGTCCACGAAACCGAGAAGGAGATGAGGAGGGGCTTCGTCGAGTACATAGAATAATTTGTGCCTGTTTCGATACCGGGTCCAAGGAAACCATATCAGGCAAGCTATGGGTCAATGCGAAGGGTGGTGACGGTGCAGTCCCATGGCCATGGGATATGGAGTCTCGAGGGTGCTCGGCGTCGATTTCATCTTCAGCATTGGAATGGGGGCACTAGAGGCGATGGAGCTTTGCAGAACGAAGCTGATGAAGGCGTGAAGTTGTGATAGAGTGACTTTGACGTGTGAAGGCCAGGCAGGGGAAGCGGATGGCGGCCCCCACTTGGCGCGAAACGTCATCAGTGGGCGGCGACCTTTCCAAGCCACAACCTCATGCGCAGCAGCAGACGATTCTGGTAGAGCCTCAAGACCGGCGCGCCTACTTCACCGCTGATAGACGCAGGACCCGCTCATAGTATTCACAGCTCAGCAGCCCACGGCGCATCCCGACGCAAATAACCACCATGGCGGAAAAGACCAGCACAGAAAAAGTAGGCAGGCACACGGCGACCAGCATCGCGAGAAGCTTCCCCCCACTAATTGCTGCAGCCCCCCGAGAGCCCGACGACGGCGCGCGAGCTCGACTTTGACGACGACAACGAGACGCCCACGGCCGCCTCTGCCCCCGAACACGCTGCATCGCCGCCGCCGTCGTCCAAGTCGCCCAAGCCCGGCGTGCGCTTCAACGATGAAGCCACCGAGATCCCACCGCCCAAGCCCCCGCGGCCTGTCGACCCCCAGGTGCAGGCGCAAAATACGCTGATCGAGGCCTTTCCCGGCGTCGACAGCAATGTCATCAAGGCCGTGCTTGTTGCCAGCGGCGGCAAGGTGGAGCCCGCCTTCAACGCGCTGCTGAGTACGCCGGCGCCTCGCTGGGTTGCGGCGACAGGATATGCTAACAGAGGCAGGCATGTCGGACCCCAACTTCAAGGCGGACGAAGCACCCCCGCCGCAGCCACCGCGCCCCCAGCCTCGGAGCCAGCTCGAGCAGGACGAGATCTACGCGCGCCAGCTGGCCCAGCACTACCAGAGCCAGGGCGGCCAGAACGGCCAACGGTCGCGTGAACAGGCTCGCCGCCAGCGGCCTGGAGAGCCCGAGCGCGAGCACAGCTTCTTTGACGGTGAGCTCATGTGGGCACGCCATGCGGCCAGAAACACGGGCTAACAGCACACACTGCAGATGACCTCCCAGAGATCCGCAAGAACATCGAGCAGGGCTTCAAGGAGACACAGCAGACGGTGACCAAGTGGATCAGCAACTTCACCAAGAAGCTCGATGGCGAAGTCGACGAGTACGACAAGTACGGCAACCCACAATACACGGGCCGCACCGGGCCCCCGCCACGACAGAACTTTGGCCCGTCCCAGTCGGATCAGATGCAGGGCATTCGCAGGTCGGCTGAGCAGCGAAGGTCGGCAGACCACAGCCGCTACGACGCCGACAACAGGGTGATTGGCGACGACTTTGCCAAGCTCGAGCTGCGAGACAACGACGGTAAGGGATTCTGACTCACCACCGAGCGCACAACTGACGCACTGTAGCACCACAGCGCTCTTCTAGCCGCCCGACGGCCAACCCTGACCTCTTCAAACCGACGCCCGTATCGCCTCCCCAGAGTGGCCCTGTTGACGAGGTCGATGCTCTCTACCGCAACCCATCGCCCAACAACCAGAGTGGCCAGGCAAAGCCGGGCGGCAAGAAGTGGCAGCCGCTGACATCAGTAGCCCCCAACCCTGAGCCTCACGAACACGATCCCTTCAGTCTGGGCGATAGCGATGATGAAGACAAGGACCACAAAAAGCAGGACACCAACCCTGCTGATAGCGAAAGACTGAAGAACGCCGCTCAGAACAGTAGCGAAGGCCCTCCTGCGGGCAAGCTGCAGCCCTCAGAGCGAAGCGGCAGTGTGAGCCAAAAAGACGCCACCATGGAGGCGTTGATCAAGGAGGCCAAGTAAGTCCATCTTTATGCCTGGCTACTATCAATTAAAGTAAATCCATTTCCATATCTTGTTACGGCCAGTGAGTAGGACCGAATGAATTCTACACACGTCTTCTATGCGAAGGCGTCTACGTTGTTATTTTCGTATCTCTAGACCTTTCCTTATTCACCTCCCTGCCTGTGGATCCTCAGCCGCTACTATTACAATTGCGCCAGGTCGCCAATATGCATGGTGTGCATGTCCCTCCATTTCCTGATGGAGCAACTGTCTCACTCTACGTCTCTCGGCCCGTTTTCTTCGGACAATGCAGATCTCGCAATGGCTGTCTCGAATGCGCGATGGCGTCAAGATTATGTGAGAACCCATGTCACAAGGACTACATATTGCGTGCGTCTATTCTCACCGTCGAATCGTAACAGTCTGTGGCGCAGCAGATTCCCCGCGGGGGGCAAGGTCATTTTCGTCGTGGCCACGCAGACAAAGGATTTTTGGCTTGCCTTTCAGTCGCTGCCCACCTTTGGGCCGGCCCATCGCGCGCGTGCAGATGCAGGTTCAGCCGCGCCAAGCATATCACTACTCAGCCTTAGGAGCGATTTCCTTTCAGCTGCATTCTCGGGCATTTATGCTTACAACGATTGGTCAAATTGTTGCAACGTCTCGTTTCTCATATGCAGTGGGCGCAATTGTCACCATTTTCCTCCTTCAGTTGCTATATGTCAGCATCAGAAAGGTATGATCACGCCCATTGCGTTCTGGAGACTTCAGCCATGACATGGCCCAATGGAACATCAATAGGCACCAATGTCACATCTTCCACCTTGCAATTACGTCGCACGGTATGAAGGTACGACGAATTGGACTCTCAGACATCTCGCATTGGCTGCAAGGCCTCAAGAACCATGTTGTGGCCCCTGTCAGCTGAGACGTACGTCAGATCTGACCAGTTGAAAATTCACAGCAGTGGACTCCAGCTCTTTCAGCAACGAGCCTGTCAGCATCTTCTAGTCACATGTGGTTCACGCCAAGCGTAAGCAATTGTTGGTCCTCTGAGTTATATCGTGATTGTGGCTTGGCGCTATACTCACTTCACTACAGGCGTTCATCACACCGCCATATTGCGGGTGTGGCTCCACGCCTGCCTTGCGCCCTGTATCTAGATGGAGGTTTTCAATAATCACTGCGAGTGGGAGTAATTCACCTGACAACGGCGAATATACCATTTTGGGAGCTGGTATCATGCGGAGCGTATATTGACTGCGAACGGGCTGAGACGCCCTTGAAGAATTGACTATAAATTCTGTGATGCCGGTATCGTTCATCGCCAGTCCGATCTGCCATCATCACAACAACTACTTACCATTACTTCCACTATGGATCCTGTTACGCCCATTCCGCTTCCTCAAATTGACGAGCCAGAGGAGTACAACACCAACTACATCCTTTACTGGCACCATATCGGTTTGGAACTCAACCGCCTCACTCACACTGTAGGAGGTCCCCAGACTGGCCCACCTATCTCTGCCAGAGCTCTAGGTATGCTCCAGTTGGCTGCCCACGACGCCTACTTCGCAATCAATCCCTCTGCCGAATTTTCGACCTTTCTCACTCCTGGTGCTGAAAATGCCGAGTACCGTCTTCCTGACCTGAACGGAGCGGACGATGCTCGCCAAGCAGTTGCTGGAGCTTCTCTTAAAATGTTGACTGAGCTGTACATGAAGCCTGTGGTTCAATCTAACCCCAACCCCGGCGCAAACATCTCCGACAGGGCTTACGCCCAACTCGCACTGTTCATAGAGCAATCGTCTGCTGAAGCTCCCGGCGGTGTCGACCGAGCCTCAGCCAGTTTCCTGTTTGGTGAAGCTGTAGCGGATGTCTTCTTCAAACTCCTTTTCCACCCACCAGGTGCTTCGCAAGATGGCTATCATCCCACCCCTGGGCGCTATAGATTTGACGATGAGCCTACTCACCCTGTCGTTCTAATCCCAGTAGACCCCAACAACCCCAACGGGCCCAAGAAGCCGTTCCGTCAGTACCATGGTCCTTTCTACGGTACGACTGCGAAGCGTTTCGCTACACAGACTGAGCACATTCTTGCCGACCCACCAGGCCTTCGTTCTGCTGCCAATGAGACTGCCGAGTATGATGACTCGATCCGCGTCGCAATCGCCATGGGTGGTGCCCCAGGGCTCAACTCTACCAAGCGCTCTCCATACCAGACAGCGCAAGGAATTTTCTGGGCCTACGATGGGTCCAACCTCATTGGTACACCGCCGCGTCTGTACAACCAAATTGTGCGCCGCATCGCCGTAACCTACAAGAAAGAAGATGATCTCGCAAACAGCGAAGTCAACAATGCAGACTTTGCGCGTCTCCTCGCTCTTGTCAACGTCGCCTGCGCCGATGCAGGCATCTTTTCGTGGAAAGAGAAATGGGAGTTTGAGTTCTGGCGCCCCCTATCTGGCGTTCGTGACGATGGGCGTCCAGACCATGGCGACCCCTTTTGGCTCACGCTCGGTGCCCCAGCCACAAACACAAACGATATCCCGTTCAAGCCACCTTTCCCGGCCTACCCCTCCGGACACGCAACATTTGGTGGAGCAGTCTTTCAGATGGTGCGCCGATACTACAACGGGCGCGTCGGCACATGGAAAGATGACGAGCCCGATAATATCGCCATCGACATGATGGTATCCGAGGAGCTCAACGGCCTCAGCCGCGACCTCCGCCAGCCCTACGACCCCACCGCCCCAATCACCGACCAGCCTGGTATCGTCCGTACACGAATCGAGCGCCACTTTAACTCTGCATGGGAAATGATGTTGGAAAACGCCATTTCCCGCATTTTCCTCGGCGTCCACTGGCGTTTCGACGCGGCAGCCGCGCGCGACATTCTCATTCCAACAGTGACAAAGGACGTGTATGCCATTGACAACAACGGCGCGAGCGTCTTCCAGAATGCAGAGGACGTACGGTACTCTACGAGGGGCACGCGCGAGGGTCACGACGGCTTGTTCCCGATTGGCGGTGTGCCGCTAGGTATCGAGATTGCGGATGAGATTTTCAACGCGGGATTGAAGCCCACGCCTCCGGAGGCGCAGCCCATGCCCCAGCCGCCGTATGTACAGAAGCCGCCGTATGGGAAGGAGAGTCAGTCGACTATGTGGGAGGAGGAGCATGCTCAGGCCATGGATGAGGCGCCGTAGATGGTGATGGGTTGAGTACGCTGATATAGGGTAGTACAAGGGGGCTCGCGCACGACGCAGTTTGAATTTCCGCAATCTGATCTCGGTCTTTAGTCTTGTGCGGATAATTAATATAGTGTAGTATATGTAAAGTGCTTATCAATTAATGCTTTGCTAATAATCAGCATCTGTGGTGTCATATGTTCCAGTCAGTAATCTTGCTGATCGTGCTCGCTGTATATCGAGACTGTGATATTCTCATCAAGTAATGAAATGGTCAGCCAGGGAAATTTGAGAACGGAGGGCGATTCTTTGCTGAAGTGACTGGTAAGTGATGACTAAGAAATAAAGACGGCACTCACATGAGTTGGTGGTATTGATGACGTAATAATAAGGGGTATGATGCCTGTGCTTTTATAACCACTAAAACTTGTAACACAAGAGTGATATCAATACACATTTATTGGATAACTAAGCCGCCGAATGATTTGATGAACGCAAGCGTTTCAAGAGTAGAAGATAAAAAGCTATGCATTGAGTGATTGAGGTAAGACAAGCACACAAAGAAACCAAGTACGAAAACCTCAGCAGCTCATACCATCGTATCAATGGGTGAGAGCGTTAGTTTCCTAATCGAGACCTACGAAGAAGAGGAGATTCAGCTTGTAGATTCTACTTGTTTCACTGCATCTCAATCTGATGTGCAAGCGAATATACGCATCTGGTGGAATCACTGGCCTGGAATGATTTTTCACTGCGGCTCCTTTGTTTTCACTGTCAGAGAAGCCTGTTGAATAACATAGTACTCAACCTATAAATACACAGACCACTACTAAAGCCACACATTGAAAATTCTCCCTTCACAGCGGAAATACCAAGTCACTCATTCAACCTGCAATTCAACTTAGCGAACCCCTCCCCCCTTTTCTTTTCTCTCTTGCAAACCCAGGAAAAACATGGCACAAATACACATCACACCCCCTCCACTACCAACACCACCACCAGATTTCTCACTCGCCTCTCTCCGTTTGGATTCTCTACCGCTGGGCTCGCTACCAAAACATTCGCTTCCGCGCCTCGCACCCATCGCACGCCCCATTTCGCACGTAATCCAGGCTCACGAGACCAAATGCGGAATATGTTTCCAGCAGCTATTCAGAACCAACATGGGCGAAACCATCAACCACATCAACGCATGCTGGGGCGCTAGAATTGAGAAAACCGCGAGGAAAAAAATAAAGGTTTGCACTGAGAATACACGGGAAGACAGTAGCGAGGAGAAACTGCATGATACCAGAATTCCGATTCCGATTCTCGATTCAGTCATAAGTACACCAGCGCAAACTGCACTGTGTCCTCCACATGATGCTACCGCAGAAACCTCATGCGTCCTATGCTGCGCCACGCTACCACAAGATGATTCTCTAGATACTATCCACCTCCTCCTCAGCTGTCTGGCACAGTACCGCCCGGACACATGTCCCATGTGCGCACACCCCTTTAGGTCTTTGACTGAACCGCAAGACCTGATTTTGGCATTGGAACATATTTATACACTGCACTATGCCCCTTTTTCTCCGTCTACACCTCTGTCTCCGTCTTTATCGTTGGGTTCCTCCTCGTCTCCACCCAGCACACAACATACGTTCACCGACCTCATAATAGCATATCTCGGGCGCGTAGAATGCTCAACGCGGCTGCTGCACAAGCAGTATGGAGAAAAAGCGTCGTGGACTGCGCAGCAGCATCAGAGGGCGTACTTGCAGAAGAGGCGGGGGCGCGCGCGGAAGGCGAGTGTGTAATGAGGTTGTGGTAAGGGTAATTGAGGTAGTTGGAGGGCGGTGGGGATGTGTAACGGAAAGGCGCTTGTGATTGATACGATTTTTAGGGGAAAGGTCGGGAGGGGAGAGGGGAGAGGAGAACATAGATAGTGTCGTGATAGATGGGTTGCAGCGGGAGGGGTGTTGTGTTAGATTACAAGAGAGACGCGTATACTACAGCGTTTTGGACAGGCAAGGATGGTTAGAGGGGTATCCAGTACTAAGAACACTGCATAGTGGGTTAGTAATAAGAGATTTTACACAAAAAGAGATCCTAAGGTAGAGATCTATTCGCCACACTATACTAAGGACTATACCCTATTATTATTATTATTATTCTAGTTTAACGTCCTTTTTGTAACGGGCTGAACGCCCTTTGGATAGCTCCTCGATGGAATCTCGGGCCAAGCTGCGCGCGCACCATCTGAACTACGTTCAGACCGAGCAGCGCTCAGACAACGCGCTTAGATACTCCGGCATAACCTTTCTTTGATAAGTAAATAAACACCACGTAAGCAGAGTAGATAGCTCCTTATTAAATATAACCTCTTGTATACCTTGCAATTGCTCCCTAGAGCGCAGCCCCTTACATTTTGTATTCGATCCTAATTAGACACAAGCCTTAGGCAAACTATCTTCTAACTAAGTTTTAAAGCGTGTTGTTAGTGCGAGCTAGTAACATAGAGTTAGTGCTGTAATAGGTACGAAAGGCCTTTAGTGCAGCGAGAAGGTAGACCGTCGCAAGACAGTACACCTAGGGCAGAGCTTCGCAGGAAGTTTAGCTGTGAGAGACAGTAGGCGAATTAGTCGCCTAGGACCTGTCTAGGAAGTCCTATTGTGTCTTAGAAAGCCAAGCTGTAGGCACAACGTCGCGTAATAAACTACCTAAAGGCCACTCAGGCCTAGTGTACAGTTAGCTAGAAGCAGACGTTGTAGTGAGAAGTCCTGT